GTCATGAACTAGACATAAATATGGCTGTTCCAATAAAACTGTTTTAAAATCAGGCAGTGTTCAGATTTGGACTGGGTTATCGCAGTCTGTTGATCCCCAGGTTTAGATGAAATACCTAAAAGACTAAAAATTAATGCATCACTTACAATGATACCTCTTCTATATACAGGCTGAAAACCTAATTAAAAGTTGTCACACTAAACTACCACAGATTATTACTTACATAGAATATTGTGCTATTTATGCTAACTGTATAAATCCTGTCTCCCATGTTGAATGACTTTGAGCCCCTCCTTAAACTCCCAGATCCCATAAAAAATTTCAACTACTACTATACTCATCTTAAAATATGGCCAGTGGTTTTCTACCTCTGTGAATGAAAATAAGCAAGCAAGAGTTCTTAAAATGCAGATCCCATGGCTCCAACCCAGACCCACTGTATCAAACTATTTGGTGGACTGGATCTCAGGCACTTTTCTTAATTTCCACAGATATGCTGCAAAGATCTAATGCAATGTGTCCCAAAGGCTGAAAACTAATGGATTTAACTAAAAATGTGATAAATGGTCAACATACCTAAATCTACCTGGATCAAAGAATTGATTTGTAAGAACCCACATTTTTAAAAAGCTCCAAGTGGTTAATATGCACTCATTTGAAAAACACTACCACATAAGAAGCATTACATCTTTAGCCTCTGGCTATACCTCCTTGATATTTTTGGCCATGTTACATAATACCAGAGAGGCACAATGCAGCACCTATGACAAAGGAACATAACTGGGTCATATTATTGCCTAAACATATAATACATACTTATATTTGCAGGTTTATTACGTATGTGTGTTCAAATATCGAGGGCTATTCCCACCTACTCAAATAGGAATAAAAAATTCTTCAATATCTATTCATGTATATATTTTGAAAAAGATATAAAGGGTTATTCTTTTCTTCACTAAAAACTAATTACATTTACCATACCAGAAAAATAAACTTCTAAAAAGAAACTTCAAAGTAGCAAACAAGCTAAACATTGCCCCAGTTTTCCTAAACAAAGTATTTTATAATTATACGATATAACTACTAAGACTAAAATTACATTTAGATACTTTATGACATTATCTTTTTCCCAAGAAAGCAAAGTTTATTCTAGGAAAGTACATTAAAAAATGTTATAATTAAAATCTCCCCTTTACTCCAACCCAAACTGTATTACAAATAAAAACTGGTACAATGCAGTACTTAAATTTACAGTAAGTGGAGCTACCAAACTAATACAAAAAAAATCAAAAGGACAAACATAAAGGACAATTTCATACATTCTTATCAGAATAATCTCTTGTGATATGTCCCAAAGGCTGTAAAACTGTTAATAGAAAATTTCATCCTTGTAATACTACCTATAAAATGGTTCAAAATACACTTCACACCATGGTAAAAATAAACCTAAATGTACTTAAGGCACAGCATAAAAAAATATACTTTTATGGCAATCAAAAATTAGGCTACAGGAGTGAAAAATAAAGTTTAATTTGTAATTATCAGAGCTATTATCAAAGAGCATGACTTAGAGAAAAAAGGTATGAAATAAAAATGATTACTTCTAATTAAGGGCTGACATATCCTTGAGACTCTAAAAATGTTCACTGCAGGGGACATATGTTCACTGCATGTGCCATATGTTCACTGCATGTCATAAAATTACAATGAAGCTGAAGGCTAACAAAGAAATACATGACCAGATAGATATGGGGGGTGTTTTCCCCCATTTTGTTAACATTCTTAATAATTATCCAAGACACAAAATATGGAAATGACTATTTATTTTATAATTCAAAGCCCATATTATTAGTTGTGTTGGAATATTTCTAATAGGAATATGAGAAAGAAATGAGAGCTGATATCGTTAAACAAACCAAGTAAATCTACTTTGCTCTTATTACTTGGGCAAACTAAACACTTACCATTTGATTCTTCCCTTTAAACTCAACAGTAAAAAAAGAGAAAGCACATAAGAGAGCCTAATTTCAAAGCTTGTAAAAACAAAAACGTTAAAACTGTTTAACAATTTTTTCCAAAGTTTTCAAAATAAATGAATAAATGATTCAATAATTGCCTCAATGTCTTTTCTATTAACACAAAGGCTGAGACCTGTAAAGAGCTGTTGTATTTCTTTAGTACTTGATTATACTATGCCATGCTATAATTCTTCAGTACTCAGTTTGTATTAGCAAGCATTATGAAGCTGACACCAAAATAATAAACTTATTTCTATTCATAATTTCTAATCACAAAAAAATCTAAAAGTAGAATAAAGATTCCGTTTTCCTCTAAGTACTGAATTTCATTGTTATGTATTATTTAAAATATGGTTCCTCTTCAGAAAATTAAAAACAGAGTAACTTTGAGGTCTAACATGAATACTAATTAGAAAAAAAAGTGAACAATTTTCCAACCCAGTGGTTCAGCAAACTTTTACTGTAAAGGGCCAAAGAGTAAATTTTAGGTTTTGTGGGCCACAAACACTAATACTCTTTTTTTTCCCTTATCCATCAACTCTTTAAAAATTCTTAGCTCTGGGGTAGGATGGTATGAAAACTGGGGTGGTTCCCAGCTACAGTTTGCAGACCTCTGCTCTAGCCAAATTAATCTTATGATGCTTCTAATATGCAACACATACTTTGACTATTTGAAAACAAAATATCTTAATACTGAATTATATAATCATCTAAGTTTTCTAAGAGCATAATTTTATAAAACAATAAATCTATTTTTGAAATGCCAATAAATCTACCATGAGTACTTTTAAATTACTAGTTTACTTATTCTCAAAGTTCACTGGACATCTGTAAAATTTTACCCATTAAAATTAATTTTAAATATACAAACATTTTCAAATTAAAATAAGAATTTGCATTATTTCAATTTTAAATTGTAGCAACATTTTCAAATCCTTTTTGAATAAGAAAGTGAAATTAAAACTGTCTTTCATTAATTATACCTTCATTAAATGTCCTTAATATATTTAAAAAACTGGTATAATTTCTAAAAATTATCAAATGATTTCAAAGGATAAAAAGTCTGCAGTCAATTTTGTGATACAACCAAGTTAATCAAGTTTAACAGTACTTCTAGTAAAGTTTCATTTCCTTCTAGTCCCGTAAATAATTTATGCATGACAGTATTACAAATAGCTACACATCTACTCGAAGAATATAATGTTTATGAAACCAGAAAAATATTAAGTAAGGTATTAAGCAAGTTAACTTCACCAAGTTTACCATAAGCTAGCACTTTAGTAAAATAAATGTTCAGGTATATTTCCTCAATGGAATAAAATAAAAGTTTCCCTAATAAATATATCGTATGTAGCTTACATCTTGATTATATCTGCAGATTAAAACAATATTATTACTAGCTGTCAAAATACAGGCCTGACAAATTTTTGAAATTCCATTCTTTAGTAACATCATAAAATATCTTCACATTGATAAATCCAGCAAATTATGTTCAAATGTAACAACCAAAAACACCTAAAACCAAATTTAAAACATGTCATAAGCAAGTGCTATTTATCCAAGGAAAAGAGAATTACAAACTAATACTAGAAATTATTCCCCCCAAAATTACAATGTTTCAAAAACCTCAACTAATTTGGTAATAGAATTTAAAAATCAATTAAGTTAAACTTAAAAGAATGACATAATAATAAATTTTTCTAATTAACTGTATTTAAATGCCACGATTGCCATTCAAACGATACTTACTTGATGGAAGGTAAGCTAGAAGTTTCTTATTGCTATATAATTTAGGATTTACTTTACTGTATTTGTACTCTTTAATAAAAAAAAAGTTTAAAATTTTTCTAAGGACAAAGCAATGGGATAGCCAGGTCAGGGAAAAAGGGACCATACCTTGAATTAATAGTTTTAGCTTTAGAAACTTATTAAAGAACCATAGCTTTTTAACAGCTAGAGAAAAAAATAACTAGAAAGTATTTCACAGAATGAGCTGTTAAGCTGTCATTCATCTAAGGTAGACAATCAGACTCTTTGTTAATTACCATGAAGCACTTGTACTGTGGATTTTAACATATTTGAGGTATCCTTGTTTGCCCTACCATTTTGCTTCCCCAAAACAAAAACCTGAGTCAGATCAAGTCTTTGGAAGTAACTCCAGTTTAGGAGAAATTCAGGCATAAAGAACTTAAAAATCACTGCTAAGATAGATCAGCAGATCCAGAATGGGAGATACTCTATACAATGAAGATGTTTCTTAAGGAAAAATTTTAAAAAGAAGAAAAGAAAACCTACAGACTAAAGAACACATTTATCAGCCAATTTGAAGAAACCAACTGTATTAAAAAACATACAGACACACACTCTCTCTCTCTCTTTTATAAAACCTGGACAATTTTGGGCTTTTACTAGTTAATATTAAGAACTGACAGCTTTTAAGATATGATAAAGACAATTTTAAAGAGGGTCCTTTTCTTTTGCATATACGTATTGAAATACTTATGAATGAAATCATACAAGGGGATTTCATACAAAATAATTCAGGAATGTGGTATACATAAAGCTAAAAAAGTTCAGCCATATGTTGATAATTGCTATGATTGGGTGATGAGCACATACTAGTCTACTTTTGTATATGTCTAAAATCTTCCAAAATTACTAATTTTTAATATCAGTAAATGGTGAAAATCAATGAAGTAGAAATGATGGATTTATCAAGATTTCTAATTTAGTAACATATATTAAAAAAAGATGAAGTGGAGAAAAGTTTACATCCCTTTCATAACACATGAATATTATCCCTAGAAACTAACTTTAATTTACTTCCTGTAAGGGGTTAAGAAAATCATTAGTTTAATATAAACAAACATGAAATTCAGAAAATTTAGGAATGACTATACAAAACAGTACATCTAAGGAATTCTAAATATACATTGTCCATCTGACAATACAAAATCATTTATCTAGTATTTTTTTACTTACATTTTCCATATAGTTTGGCTTAAAGCCCTCTTGCTGCCGCCTCAGCTCCTCCTGTTCTCTGTGTCGGATCATTTCTTCCTCGCGACGACGATGCTCTTCTTCATGTCTGAAAGATTTTTAAATAAGAATTTCAGCATGGTTGACATGTAAGCCATAATTGGGTATGTTATTTCAAACAAAACAAAATCATTTATTCAAGTTACATTATGCTAAATCTGTGAAAAATGACTGTCTTAGTAAATTTACCTTCCTCCTCCTATTTTGCTCTAAGTCTTTAAATAAACCGAAGAAATAAAGAAACTTAGCTAGGGTAAAAAAAAAACATGTAACTAAGATAGTGATAAGCTTACAGTCAAGAAACTAAGAGTCCAAAAGCTCAAACATGTACTCTATTACTGTATAAAAAGAAAAGCCTGGGATCTATCACTAGCATAGCAGAGTACTTAAAGACACTCAGAACCTACCTTGAAAGAAACCACTGCAAAGTACTACACTGTCAAGACAAAAATTCTTGTGTAGAAGAAAGTAAAACCCCCTCTCCCCATCCCATCAACACATTGAGGGAATTCCCTACAGCAGGTGTAAGCCTACTATTTGTTTCTGTAAAGTACAGTTTTGTAGGACAATCATTTCTTTACTGTCCATGGCTACTTTCAAGCTACAGCGGTCAAATAGTTGAGACAGGGACCATATGACCTGCAAAAGCCCAGAACTTCATTATCTAACCTTTTCATAGAAAAAGTATGCCACCTCTACCCTAGAGGCATATTCAACCATGCCAAAAGAAAAAGAGAATTGAACTATACGTATGTGCAGAACTACTATTTTAGTAGTTACAATTAAGAGGGAAAGCCTACAAAATAATTTTGACATACAGGCTCACATTATATTGGCATTTAAATCAATGCAATTCAAATATTTACACCCTCCACTCAAAAACAAGAAAGCACTTTTAACTGAGGACTTTATAAACATGCTGATGCCCACTAAATAGGTCTCATTTTCCAGGCTGCTCTTATAAGCCCCTTTTGTAGAAAGGTGTAATACTATAATTTCAAGATAGTTTGTCGTCGTTTATTATACAACAGTCATCCTAAACACAAGTCCAACAAATGAATGAAATGGTGACATCTCCCACAGCCAGCAGAAAAAACTGGCTGTTAGGACTGTATGTCACACCACAAGGCAACAAAACAAGCAAAATCTGGACTACTGAGACTTTTCTCTAGGTCCCCAATATACAACCCTGTTCAAGTAAACTGATTACTCAACTAAACTGGTTAATCCATTTCTTGGACATTGACACACTCATAAATTTTAGTTTAAGAAAATAATTTTCATATTCATATACTACTAAAAATATACACAGGTACAGGTTAGAAATTCCCTTATTCAAAACCCCCAAAGCCACATGTGTTTAGAAACTGAGTTTTCCCAATTTTAAAAAGGGTCAATATCCACATTAATATTTTTACAATAAGATGAACATTCACATTGTATGGCACTAATAAAGGTTTGACACAGCCACAATGTAAGTATTGGTCACTTTTTGCCATCAAATAGGCTCATGTCAGATTCTGCCACTGAATGATACATGAAAAAGCTTTTGATTTTCAAATCATTTTTGGTTTTCAAAACTGCAAAAATGATCTTGAGGGCCAACTTGTAACACAAATTTTTAGATGTTCAAGTCCATTTCAAATAAACTAAACAGAAATATTTGTGCAAGTATGCAAGGATGTATATATATACAACTATACACTGTGGCATTAATTAAAGACAAAACATTGAGGGCAAAACCAATTATGAATAGGGGACAATTATGGTTCACTGATGCCAAGAAACACAATTGTTACAAAGAGGTAGATTAGCATTTACTGACACGAATGTCTAAAATACCACTGTCAGAAAATGGGCAAGTAAAAGAACAGCATTCCTATTATAGCTTTTAAAAATCATCTGATGAAAAGGGTATGAAAAAGTTTTTATCACACAGGGAATAATAATCTGGGTAACAGGAGCATTACCCTTTTAATTTTATATACATGTGCATCACGTAAGTTTTGTTTTAAGCATGTATTGCCATAACATTTTTAATAAAACCAAATAAAATATTTCGAACTAAACTGAATATATACTTCTCCCATTGTAGAAGCACTTTTCTGATAATAATGTGAGAACAGATTTACAAATTAGGAGAAAAAATATAGTGAAAAGGTAAAATCATTTTAAACATTTGTTATTTTCTCTTCCCATTCCTTCGTCTATAAATTCCAGAATTTCTTACTTTATTTTGAACTGAACTGTGCTCGTACTACACTGACAACTCCATAATCCAAATGTACACACACAGACAGCATACAGGAACATCCCCTATTGTACACACGTTTGCATTTAATTTTTTCTATTCCACAAAATGCTTTCCTGATCATCCTTGTATTTGTATTTAATGTCTCTTTAGGTCAAGGATAACTTCTTAGGTCATATTCACAAATGAACTAGTAAGTAAGAAAGTGTGACAAATTTTAACATTCTTCATGTTATATAATCAATTGGAACCTGATTAAAGCTCAATTTTACAATTTATTTTCATTTGAAGCATACTAATTATTTTCAGGTCTCTTGTATTTTGAAAAACTGAGGCTCTAGGCACTAAGCTATGGTATCAGCAACAGATTAACAACATCCAGTCATTCTCTGTTACCGTTCAGCACTATGCCTGTCACACCTATTGCAGTTCTCAACATACCATAAGATCTTTATAATATGTCCAATGACATAATAAGGGAAAGAAGGGGTAAATAGATAGGTGAGTGAGTATGAGGGTGGTAAGAGAAGGAAGAAAGGAATAAATGAACAACTAAGTGGTCAAGCCACAGCTCAAACCAGCTCATCCTGGTCTTTCTTCTTCACTGCTACAGTCTCTGAAGAAGTGTGACACACAAAAAATAAAATAGTTTAATTGCATCACTGAAAGAAAAACCACAAATTTGTATCTTCCAAATTAATTTATCTCAAAATGTGCGTTCTTAAGCCAATCTTTTCAATCTTCCAACTAAGGTGTAAGAAAAATAAAGTGCAAACCATCTGGCTTGTTGACAATTAAATCTGTTTTATATGGTAGCAGCCTCAGTCAGATAAATTTCTTCAGCCTAACAGCTATAGTTTTATTTGCTTTGTCTTGAAAGTACAGGATATATTTAAAGATTATTAGTACTAAACTTCTAAACATACTATTTTTCCTTTCCTTGACAGATGATGTAAAACTACTCAATTTTAAGACAAGTTGTTCACATTTCTTTACTCAAGATTCTTAGTTATTTTTAAAAAAAACTCCCCAACCATCAGGCACAGGGTAAGATTGTAAACAGATCTGTCACTGCCTGTATTTGCCAGAATATAGCCAAACATAAAGGTTACCCAGCAAATTATAACCTAATTGTTCAGGTATTTTTACTGTTGGTACATAGTTAACTTAATTTCAAGTTGAATCTGGTATGCTTCTACATACTAAAAAAAACCTCAATGAAAAATTACCACGTGCACAGAATACTTATGCCAAGCAAACCAATATTTCACCTATTATGAGACCAGATAACCTATTAAAAATTCTTATTAAGTACTCCAAACTGTTTCTATATACTTTACTTTCTTTTTAATAATCTGATCATTCCGACTAATGTCTGCCTCTCTCCTGCATTACCATAAGTTCCATAGTGGCAGAGCTTGTCTCTGTTGTTCCCCAATGAATCCCCAATACCTACAGTACTTATTTTTTCCCCCAATTTTAAACACACAGAAAAGTTGCAAAAATAGAACAGAATCCCTATATATCCCTTATGCAGCATCCCCTAATATTAAAATCTTAACCATGATACAATTACGAAAATGAGGAATTAACACTGGCTACACTTAAACCATGGATCTTACTCAGATTTCACGTTTCCTTGCTAATGTCTTTCTTCTGTTCCAGGACCCTATCCAGAATCCCATCTTTTATTTAATTATTATTTCTCCTTAGTTTTCTCCAGTCTGTATCATTATTTCTTGATCTTTCATGAATGTGACACTTTTAAAAAGAACTGAGTATTCTGCAGAATGTCCCTCAATTCTGGTTTGTCTTAAATCTTCTGAAATTTGTAAACTTAGCACCAGATTATAAATTCACGGCAAGAAAACCATGACATTACAGCCTTAGTGTACCATACCAAGGGCTTCCTGGTGTCAGCATCTTACTACAGGTGATATGAACTGCTTAACACTTTGGTCTGCTGCGTTTCTTTAAATTCTTTCACTTTAAATTTACTACTTTTCTTTCTGTACCTAATACAAATCTGAAGCTCTGCCAATCCCACTTCTCAAGTTTCTATGCAACAACTAGCATCCACTAGTTAAGTGTTGTACTTGCCCATTGATAATATTCTCTCATTCCTTCCATATTTTAACTGGAATTCTCTGTAAGGAAAAATTGTCCATTCTCCTCTATTTATTTGTTTACTTCTATCACTATGGATTTACTTTATTCTACAGCTTAAAAACCTAATACTATTATTTTTTATTTTGTTCCTGAAATTGTTTCAACTTTGGCCATCAGGAGCGCCTTCAGTTTGGCTCCTGTGTTCTTTCAATATGCTCCATCCTTCTTTGAATACTTTTTTACTCTCTGGCACAAACTATTCCAGACTCATCTTGGACTTTTCAGTATTAGAGTCAAGCACTTCAAAACACCTTTGTTCCTTTTATTGAAAGTGATATTTAGAAACATAAATCTGGGCACTAGATGTGTTCACTGTTACTGAAGCATCCCTGCTTCCAGGTATAGGGCTATGAAATACATATATGAACCCACACATATACACATACCTATATTTATCTATCTACCCATCTAAATTAAATACCACTGAGTTCATAGTGGTAGCTTGGATTCCACTCCAACACCAAAAGATTCCTTTTATTTTAGCCTTTCTCCTTTCTTTCCCTAACATAAGAAAACTGGTCTCATCACCTATTTTTACTAATTTGTTCATTTAAAAGAGTATATATAATAAAGGCCTGATCAAAGATGGGGAACAAAGTATACACACAAAATATTACTGCCATTATTATCAGAATCACTAACCTATATTCTTGTTTTTAAGAAACACATTTACCCTCTGGATTACAGAACATATATATTGTTCTTCCTGTCACTAACCTATGTATTCTAGTCAAGATACTATTTGCCAAAGTTACCAAGGTGCCTTATTTTCATTCCTGCCCCCTTTCAGTATGATACGGTTATCCATTTGTAATACAGTTAGATTCATTTGCTATATTTTTATAACCTATTTTGGGTTCTCCCACACTGTTTGGTTTTAATTATTTATTTTTTTCAGCATGTGATGGGTAAAGTACTAATTCTGAAGGCCTAGATGTCAAGTATACATATAAGAGAAGAAAGCTGGATTTAGACAGGTTTTTATGTTGGGGAAGAGGTGGTATCCTTTTCTTTTTAAAAGCAGAAATACCTGAATGCTTTACACAAAAAAGAAAGAAGTTGAAAAAGTTCCCTTGTATAAGGAGTTGAGGTGGAAAGCTGTATACAATAGGGGTCCTCAAACTTTAGGATGCATCATAATCACCTACAGAATTTATGAAAACACAGGTGGCTGGGTTTCCACCCCAACAGTTTCTGATTTATTCTTAGGAGAAAGAGGTTTGGAGACCTTCTAATAATTCCCCTGCTAAGAATGCTGATGCTGCCTGTCCAAACACCATAATTTGAGAATAAGTAGGTTAGAGTAAAATCATAGTAGTTCTAAGACAAAGGGGAGGGGGGTAGGGGAGGAGGGGGGCAGAGGAGGAGAAGGGGAGAAGGGAAGGAGGGACCAAGGGAGGAAGGAAGAAAGAGGAGGAGAAGGAAAGATACAGATAGAATCAGGTACAAAGTTGTAAAAAGTACATTAAAACACATTGAATACTACCTATCTCCAGACTGTGAAGACACTTCACACTCAATTCAGTTTTTCACTTTCTTCTCTATTTTTTATTTGCCATGGATACCTTACTTCCTACCACAAGCACTTACTATTTTTATAGTATTTTCAAAGACAAAATTTAAGTTTAATCTATCATAGCTTTGGTTCATAACATTTCATAATTATGAGTTTTTAAAACTTTTAAGAATAAACTCATTATATTTCACAATTAAATATTACCAAGTACAAAGGAAGTTGTTAATTTTTGTTTATACATCTTGGATCAACCAGTCTCCAAACTTCCTTACCTAACATACAAGATTTTAATCTGACCATCATAGCTGCCTCTTACATACTGAGATTTTAAATCCTTTCATGACAGATTCCACTTTCAGAAAGCTTTTTAAACAAATTATCAGAAGCACAAAGATGCATAAAGATATTTATGGTAGTGTAACATGCATGAAAAATTTTAAACTAATAGCAATTCAAACATATCCATCTCTGGGAAAAAGATCCAGTAAATCATAGTGTGTTTTTAACAATACATTCCATGCCATAATGTCTAAGCCCCTTAGGTAAATTCATAGTGTATGCAATCCAAGCATGCATAACCAGCTAAAAAAATCCTAACAATAAAGAATTATGCTAGTTTGTGGAGTAATTCCCTAAGTGTAATAAAAAATGAACAATTTTATTTCTGTGTTTTCTAACTTGTACTACTTGTTTATAATAGGCAGTGGGGAGTTTTACTAATAATACACAATGAAAACTACACATATTCACATATATGTTACAATTATGTTCTTTTACCTTAGCTGTATTTGCTTCCTTTTTTGCAGCTCTTGGTTTCTGAGTTCTTCCAAGCGTCTGAGTTCTTCCTGACGTCTCATTAGATCTATAAAATATTGATTATACATTAGTATTTTTAGCTTCCCTTTTTCTATTTTTATATCAATAAGCATTTATATTCTCTAGTACCGACAATATATTTGGTAACTTATTCATACTAATGCAGCTAGCTTCTCGTTTATTTTGTCATGTTATAATATGACATTATAAACTGTGTAGTTTATCAGACAGAATTCCTTTCCAGGCCTATTTCCTCATGTGTATGAAGAGAATAATAAAAATTCATTGTAATGTTAAGAAATTAAAATCCACAGTAACTGTTTACACAGGGCCTAAAACATACAAAAACAGAATAAATGGTAGTTATATTTTCATTTCCATCCTTTTGAACAAACTACAGTATTTTTCAGCAGCAGACGCAAAGCCTAAAATGATGCCTTGAGAGACATCAGCAGAGCACATAGGAACCAGACCAGAAAAAGAACAGGAATAATGAGATAAGACACATAAACCCAAAGACCATCCCTCCCAATACAATTAGCCTAAGATTCCTCCTTCGTAAGTCAATGTCTTATGAAGGTGGGCAATGAGAGAATTCTTGAAAGGGAAAAAGAGTGACCTGAACAAGATCGTTTTAAACAAGACAAACATTCACACTATCATCGTATCTTTGCCGACTCCTCAAGAACAAAACTTGAGTGGGAGAGACCTAGCAAAAACTAAAAATATATAATCTACTTATATTCCTAAAAGGAAATGCTTCAATAGGCCAAACAATGAAAAGTATCCTACTAACAGATTAATTATCTAAGAAAGTCAATCCACTATATCCTGTAATGATTTTATCATGGTTTTATAGGATAGCTGCTCTTAAATCCTGGAGTTCCTACTGTGTAATAACAACAAATGTAAAAATATGCATTACATTTTCTTCCACGAAAATAAGAACATGAATGCTTGTTTTCTGACAACTGGATCCTCTCCCTTTAAGATGTGTCAGGGGAGAAGCTGCTTTAACCAGATCTGTGTCCTCACCTGTAACAGTGCTATAATAATTAGCTCACAGGATCTGACTTCATATTATCAGATAAGCACAATATCTGATACCAAGTAGGAGTATTATCAACTTGAAATAAGACTACCATTTTACATTTACTAAATTATTTCTTTTAAGTTACCAATATCCAAAGTTCCTAAAGTTTCACTAAAGCTTATGTATTCGTACACTGTTATGATAACATTCTTCTGGGGGAAAAAAATTACCAAAAAAATATATAATTAGAGGTGTTATCCTTTAATCTTAAATCACACACACATAGGGGTTTTACTTTAAAATAATAATCCGAATACATCCATAGACTTGCCAACATCACTGTAACTAATTACTAGACCAAATAACATTTTTAAATGCTTACCTAACAAATTTAGTGTTAACATAAAATTTATCTATGATTTCAATACACTATAAATATGGGTACACAGCAAAAGGGAATAGAGGGAAACACAAATTTAAAACTAATTTGCTAGATTATAACAAAGTGTTTCAATGTAATATCCTCAAGTTGAAATTTCAAATTGCAAATTTTCAAATAGAAAAATTGAATGTTCTCTAACAAGTCTACTTCCAGAAATTTAAGTTTCAATTACAGACTGAAAGGGCATCTAGTCCCAAGAAAAAGTTGAAATATTTACAGATACATCTTGAGTACAGAAAGAATGATGGGACGATGTAATAAGTATGATAGTATGTTAACAAAATCTAAGTAGTGAACCCCTTAAAAGTATTTCAGAATTTACTTGAAGAAAACAAACTCCCTGATTCAAAAAGACATATGCATCCCTGTGTATCAGAGCACTTTTTGCAATAGCCAAGATATGGAAGCAACCTAAGTGTCCATCAGTAGATGAATGGATAAAGATGTGGTACATACACAAAAATGGAATATTATTCAGCCATAAAAATAAAAAAAATCCTGCCATTTGCGACAACATGGATGGATCTAGAGAGTATTATGCTAGAGAAAGGAAAATACCAAATGATTTCACTTAGTTGTGGAGTATATAAACAAAGCAAAACAGAAGGAACAAATTAGCAACAGACTCACAGACACCAAGAAAGGAGTAGCAGTTACCGGAGTGGGGGAGTGGGGGAGGGTAGGAGTGGGGGAGAGTGGGAAGGGTAGGAGGGGAGGGAGAAGGGGATTAAGGGGCACAATAATTCTCAATTACAATACAGGTTGGTCACAGGGACGGTAGTACAGCATGGAGAATACAGTTAATGATTCTGTAACATCTTACTATGTTGATGGATAGTGACTCCACTGAAGGGGGTTGAGGACTTGATAATATGGGTGAATGTTGAACCACTGTGTTGTGTATTTGAAACCCAACATAAGATTGTATATCAAGGATACTTTAATTTTAAAAAAACCAAAACAGAAGGAACAAAATAGCAGTAGACTCATAGACACTGAGAAGGGACTAGTGGTTACCAAGGGGAAAGGGTTGTGGGGGAAGGGGGAAGGGGCTAAAGGGACACAATAATTGGCAATCACAATGTAAGTTGATAACGGAGGGTAGTACAGCATGGAGAATAGTTAATGATTCCGTAACACCTTACTACATTGATAGATAGTGACTGCACTAGAAGGGGTGAGTATTTAATAATATGGATGACTGTTTAACCATTGTGTTGTATATTTGAAACCAACATAAGATTGTGTATCAATGACACTTTAATAAAAAAAAAAAGTCTTTCAATTTTTTTAATGCTTAACATTTCTCATAACAAAGTTCTGGTGGGGAAACATAGCCTAATACTAGACTTCAACAATCAAGAATTCACATGAAAGCCTGATAAAAGGATCATGACACTTAGAAGGGGGAAAAGAATTCTTGCTTATCTCAAGACTTCCCCACAAAAATATTCAATGTTAAAAGACAATGAAACATGCTATCAAGCATATAAGAAAGGCAGGGAGGAAAAGACCCATGAATTTTATACCATTCAAGCACCAGTTTTTTTGTTTTATTGATATCGTTTATGTACATTACTTGAGCAACATTATGGTTACTAGACTCCCCTTATTATCAAGTCCCCCCAACATACCCCATTACAGTCACTGTCCAACAGCATAGTAAGACGCTATAGAATCATTAGTTGTCTTCTCTATATATACTGCCTTTCCCGTGCCCCCTCATACTACATTATGTGTGTTAATCATAATGCCCCTTTTTCCCCCTTCCGACACATCCTCCCCAGTCCCTTTCTCTTTGGTAAATGGTAGTCCATTCTTGGGTTCTGTGAGTCTGGAAGCAACAGTTTTAAAGTACAGAGATGACAGTTATCTTTAGAACATCTAAGAACTCAAGGAATATTGGTTCTATGAACCCTACTTAAAGAAATCATGAGAACAAACATAGACCATCAAGAAAACAGAAAAGTCATGAATCTATTTAAAACAGGAGTAAAATTTAAACACTATGAGAATTATGGTTAAAGAACATTAAGTAGAAATGAAAATAGGATATCAAAGAGATTATCTGCACCCCCATTTTCACTGCAGCATTATTCGCAATACCCGAGATACAGAAACAATCTAAGTGTCTGGCAATGGACTAATGGATAAAGATGTAGTGTGTATATGTATACTTACATACATTGTGGTGTATATACACACACATAGAGGAATATTATTCAGCCATGAGAAAAGGAAACCCTGGTGTTTGCAAGAACATGGATGGCATGTGAGGGAATTATGCTCAGTGGAATAAGACAAAGACAAAAAAACAGCATGTATCACTTACACACAGAAGTTAAAAAAAAAAAAGTCAAACACAGAAACAATAGAAAAGTGGCTGCCAGGAGCTGGGACATGGGAGAAATAGAGAGAGGCTGTTAAAATGGTATAAACTTTCAGATAAAAATAAACAGTGTTAGTTATATGTGTTAACACTGTATTTTATAACTGAAAGTCACTGAGAATGAAACTTACATACTCTCACCAAAAAAAGTTTTACACCTTAAAAAACTAAAAACAAAGTAATAGGGTGAATGTAGTAACCACATATTGCTCATGTGAAACCTTCATAAGATTGTATATCAATGATACCTTAATAAAAAATAAAACAAAAAAAATATTAAGTCAATGACATAAATCCAGAAAAATCAGAAGCAAAATAAATACTGACAAGAAAAGCAAAGGAGGAGCCAAACATGCCTCTTTTTTGTTCTTTTTCCTTTGGTAATAAGGAATCAACTGGTATTATTTAAAGGAAATAAATATACTTTTATTACTTGACTTACCAGTACAAAGGCATACATAAAGAATGATAATGTAATCAAGTAAAATGCAACGGTGGAAAAGGAAAAGAGTAATAGCCAGATGCACTGCAGAGCCAGTGTCATTCTATTGAGGGTTACATAACTATAATAACAAAGGTAACATAAAAAAATAACCACAAAGAAAATTCAGGAAGTGCCCCCTATACTGATGATCAAAAATAGATGGAGAAGGGAAAAAAAGTAACGTGTAGTAGTAAGTGTAATGGGATTTGGCTCTAGAAAGGACTAAATAAACAATAAAGTATAAATGAAGCAATTATTAAAAGATACTGGTGGTATTCAATCAGAATCAATATTTATAAAAATTTACTAAGATACATGCATAAATATTCTTTGCAGCAGTTACTAATAAACTGGAAAGAGAACTAGACATCAATCAATAGAGAATGAGCTAAGCTAACTATAGCCACTTAATGGATTATCACAGACATTAAAAAAAGATGCAGATTTATATGTAATCTATATTTATGTACTTATGCAGGAAATAAAATAGCCAAGTGCAGAAAAAAAATAGGTGGATTTTTCTGGGTTCTAAATACACATCTACTGTCATTCAAGATTTTTCATTAAATGATACAAAAGAAACTGTTAAAATGCAGAAGAAACAGTGATTCCTACAAGAAAACAGAAAGTGGAGGCAGGGGAAAGGACACTTTCTGTATTGTCTTGAGCTTTTTAGTTCATAACAGATCGGATATAGAGCCCTGCATTTCTGCAGAAAGACAGAACTAATAACACCTAAAGTCACTTTCTTACTTGAACACACACTTAAGAAATGCTGAATGAAATATAAAATTGTAGAAGAGACAAAACTGCAAAGTTTAAAAGAAAATTTTAACACTGAAACAAATTTATCTCCTGCAGACTTTTGCTGGAATACATGATGTGCTTCAGCAGAAGTAAACAGAAGCAAGTGGTAGAACACATTTAGCAATGTGCTTTTCTAATATTATAAATTAAAATATTAACAGGATTACGAATAAACAAAAAGCAATGAAATAAAAAAAAGCTCATGGGAACTTTACAAAACTGTTTCAAAAGCCAAAATGCCCTAAGGAGTTGAGATGAGACAGTTTTCTAAGTGTTCACAAGAGCTCCATGAGGCCTGAAAAAATGTCGTTCATTGTCATCACCGTGACATCCTCAGTAATTCAGTGACTTCTACAACTAACACTAAATATGTGCTGAAGAAATGACTGGCATATATACTACTGTTGTCAGTAGCAGCAACAAGTATCTTTTAATACAAATGCTTTCACATGTGATCAGTGTTATTTCCTATTTAAAGCATGACTATAGAAAATCATGTGGCAAAGTGCCTGACAGGCTATGAGCAGAGAACAATTCACATTGGAGAGAAGTACTAGAGCAACTATGATACCTAGCAAACTTTAAATTCCCAGTTGATTGTGATGTGTAACCAAATTTTAAAACCATAAAACCACCAGGCTGGATAAGCTTGAAGCTCTCTCTTCCAGCTCTAAGCAACCAATGATTCTGTAACTTCACCTCAGATAACAATTTTCAAACTTAGTTTATCTTTAATGCTCAATAAACATTTACTCAATATGCTATGGGAACCACCTCCAGTTTATCCTAGAGAAAACAAGAATCTACCAAAAGGACTTAGCAATGAATGATGATGAAATTTTCACCCTTTAAAGAAATAAAGAATGACTTAGAGGAGGTCAAAATTAGATGGTACAAGCCCAATTGGAGGGCTACTACAGAAATTCAAGCAGGCATCTGTGGTGCCTTGATCGCTGGGAGCAGACAAATGTTAAATTAAAACAAAACAAAATATTTAAGAGCAAAAAAGAAAGCAATCAGAAGTTTATTTTAAGAACTACAAAACTATTATGTATAGTGGAAAAGATGAATTGTAGGAAGAATCAGGAAAAGTTATTTGGAGAATTAAAGACAGAAGACAGGGAGAGATAATGAAGATAAATATGCACAAAAAGAAACTTAAGCACTGTGTTGTGTATTTGAAACCAATATAACAAAATGTCGTTCATTGTCATCACCGTGACATCCTCAGTAATTCAGTGACTTCTACAACTAACACTAAATATGTGCTGAAGAAATGACTGGCATATATACTACTGTTGTCAGTAGCAGCAACAAGTATCTTTTAATACAAATGCTTTCACATGTGATCAGTGTTATTTCCTAATTAAAGCATGACTATAGAAAATCATGTGGCAAAGTGCCTGACAGGCTATGAGCAGAGAACAATTCACATTGGAGAGAAGTACTAGAGCAACTATGATACCTAGCAAACTTTAAATTCCCAGTTGATTGTGATGTGTAACCAAATTTTAAAACCATAAAACCACCAGGCTGGATAAGCTTGAAGCTCTCTCTTCCAGCTCTAAGCAACCAATGATTCTGTAACTTCACCTCAGATAACAATTTTCAAACTTAGTTTATCTTTAATGCTCAATAAACATTTACTCAATATGCTATGGGAACCACCTCCAGTTTATCCTAGAGAAAACAAGAATCTACCAAAAGGACTTAGCAATGAATGATGATGAAATTTTCACCCTTTAAAGAAATAAAGAATGACTTAGAGGAGGTCAAAATTAGATGGTACAAGCCCAATTGGAGGGCTACTACAGAAATTCAAGCAGGCATCTGTGGTGCCTTGATCGCTGGGAGCAGACAAATGTTAAATTAAAACAAAACAAAATATTTAAGAGCAAAAAAGAAAGCAATCAGAAGTTTATTTTAAGAACTACAAAACTATTATGTATAGTGGAAAAGATGAATTGTAGGAAGAATCAGGAAAAGTTATTTGGAGAATTAAAGACAGAAGACAGGGAGAGATAATGAAGATAAATATGCACAAAAAGAAACTTAAGCACTGTGTTGTGTATTTGAAACCAATATAACATTGTGTATCAACAATATTTTAATTTAAAAAAAATTCTGGGGAAAAAAAAAAGAAATCTAAGAGGAAAAGGGAAGTGAGCTTCTGAGATGTATTTAAGCAGTTTGTCATGTTGCTGGGTATGTCACCAGTGAATATGGGTGTGAATTACCACTATTTTGACTGCTCTTAGAAATTCAGTTTGCTCAGTCTTAAGTATTTAAAACGTTCTTGCCAATAACTAAGAATTCAGTCTTCCTGAATCCCCATATCCACTAACACACATGAATCTTTTTCATCTCTGTGAAAGATTATCCATCCCTCTGAAATGTAGTAAGAATTTTAAATACTTTTTCCACCAAACAAAATCTTAATATATTAGCCACTCTGTTTCTCTTTTGCCAGCAGAATCATGTATTTGCTACTGGAAAAATTTAACGATCTTAATTACCTCCAACAATACTATTTATGTAGGTTATGTAATAAAGAACTCATTTTTAATGGAAGTTGTCTGGGAAAAGGGAGATTTTTGTTTCTAGTATGTTGGAGTTCCAAGTGTCTCTAAAGTCCTAACTGGCAATTTGAAACAATAGTGGGAGAATGAACCCCAAGGGGAAAAAAAAATCATACCACATCTATATGAAAACCCATTTTTACCTTGCCTCATTAGCATTAATTGGTGTTCGTGCCTAGCTGCTTCCATTTCTGCCTCCAATTTCTCTTTGGCTTCTCTGATGTTTCTATCAACCTGCTCACGTTGCTGCTTTTCCATTTCATCAAGAGCCTTCCATCGAGATGCATACTCAAATTCAAATGTCCCAGGCTGAGCAAAACGTGGCGGCTGTTCTCTTTCCCTAAGTTTACATTTGAAAACATACAGAAGTGTATGTTTAAAAGGTAAAACAACAAGTAAGCATAACAAGAACTACTATTTACTGAGTACATACAGTATTCATGGCACTGTGTCAAGCAAGTACTCTACATAAACTACCTCACAGCAATACTCTGATGCAGTTCAACAGCCTTAGTTTGAGAAATTGCATAACTAATAAGTAACGGACCCAGGATTCAAACCTAAGCAATCTGATGCCACAACCTGTACTCCCCTAATTATCACCTCCAATGAGGCCTTTCTGGTTTTCACTCAACAATTTTACAGAAGGAAGTCTGCAACATATTAATCAAATGTGCCTGGAATTAGAAGTTATTTCTCTAAAAGTAGTAACTTTTAGGGATAGTTAATAAAAGCAGAGTTTGAGTATTATTCGCAAGGTTAATTGGCTAAGCCAAAAAATAAAGATCTACCTTACTACAATTTTATTTTATTTGTTTAATGCTTGTTTCCCTTGCTAGACTGTAAACTCAATGAGAACATGAACTATGTCTGTTAACTGCTGTACCTCAAGTACTAATATATGGCACATTGTACATTTATTTCTTGAACGAATGAATGAATGATGAGCAAACAAACAGCCAAAATTTTTTTGAAATATAAAGACCTATCAATGTGCTGAAAATTCAAATAAATTTTTAAATTATTCTTGTACATCACAGTTTCTATTTAAAAGTATTGATCAGAAAACAATTCCTACCCCAACCAATAAAAGTATAGGTGCCTTGCAATCATAAATTTTAACTTGTATTTTGGGTTGAGGAGGGAAGATGGATGGGTGGGACAAAGTTGGGAGATAAATGGGGATGTTGTTACAGAGAGAAAAATGTAGTAAGAAAACAGCTTCAAACATCTTCATAAGTATATAAGGAAAATCAAAGTTAGCCATTATCTTAGGTATTCTATGCCTAAAAACCAGACTTGGCATTTTTTTCTTTTTAAAGCTCTGAAAAAGAAAAAGATTTAGGGGGATTACCATCCACTTATTTTTCATAAAGAATTATTAGTCAGCAGTTCGCAAATCAGACATTGACTATAAATATAAAAAGTTCTTCATTTTCTCCCAAGGGAAACACTACTGAAAAGATTAGGATTTGGGGAAGTTAGAACTATATAAGAATTTGGGCTCATATTCTTAGTGAATATTCCTTTCTGAGCAAAACTCTTTAGCAGTAAAACTGGGAGTATAACAAAAATTTTATAAGGCTTGCTGGGATAATTACAAGCACACCTTGGGGATATCCTGGGTTCAGTTCCAGACTACCACAATAAAGCAAATATTGCAATAAAATAAGCCAAATGAATTTTCTGGTTTCCCAATGCATATAAAAGTTTTGTTTAGACTCTACCATAGTGTATTAAGTATGCAACAGCATAATGTCTTGAGAAAACAATGTATATACCTTAATGAAAAAATGTTTTGTCAAAAAATGCTAACCATCTATCTGAACTTTCAGCAAGTCATAATCATTGATCACAGATAACCAAATAATAGTGAGAAAGTTTGAAATATTTTGAATTGCCAAAATGTGACAGAGATATAAAGTGAACAAACGCTGTTTGAAAAACAGCACCAAAAGACTTGCTTGACACAGGGTTGCAACAAACCTTCAATTTGTAAAAATGCAGTACAAAGTGCAATAAAGTGAAGTGCAATAAAACCAGGTAAGCCTGTAAATCATTATATAAACAAACACTACCTATAAATTTCACTTCTTGTAACACCCTTTTACAATTTTAATTCTCTAACTTCTGAATCCAAAAGTATGCTCTATTTCAAATAGGTAATGATAACCTTTAACCAGAAAAAAGGTCAAGTGAACAGAAAAATCATAGTCTTTGAAAAACAGACTTATAAGAGAAATTTAAATGGTTATGAATGACAAGCAATTGCTACTGATCCTTCTTCCCTGAAATACTTTCTTCCCCTACTTCCAAGACACACCCCCCATTTACTCCAATGAGTACTCCCATTCAGTCTCTGCTGATTGCTTCTCATCTTCCCAAGCCTCTATATTCGGAATAGTCCACAGCTCAGTCCTTTGACATAATTTTCTACCACATGTGATAACTCTAGCCCAGACAATTCACCTAAATTCTAGACATAAATCCAACTACTTACTTGACATCTCCACTTGGATGGTCAAAAGCCATCTCAAACTTAACATGTCCACAACAGAGTTCTGTCTTCCTTTCCCAAAACTGCTCCTCCATAGGATTCTCCAAATCAGTCACTAGCACTATTTCCATACTTCCAGTTTCTTAGGCCAGAAACCTTGTAATCATTCTTTTAACTCTCTTGCTCACATATCTCAATATCCATCAACAAAGCCAATGTCTATTTTCAAACTATATCTAGAATATGACCACTTCTCACTATCACCATTGTGACTACTTAATGTTAGCAGACTCCTAACCTTATCGCTATTATCTCAATTCCATCCTTGATTCTTCACAATCTACTCTTAAAAGAGCAACCAGGAAACTACTGTTAAACTTAAGTCACTACTCTGCTCCTTCTTTTCTCTAAAATACAAAAGGAAAAGTAGCTCAACAGCCTACAAAGCCCAATAATCTGTACTCCTCCTAGTATGCCCTATCTCTACCTCATCCCTACTACTCTGCCCCCCTTATATGCCACGTTCCAGGCTAAACAGATTTTCTCTACTGTTCCTGGAACAGTGCCAGAGTCCTCCCCTCAAGGCCCTGATAGTTACTATTCCTACTGTGGGACCACTATTCTCTACTCCATCCTTGTTCTGACAGCTACATGGCTAGTTTCCTCTCCCCCTTCTTCAAGCTGCTCATCAAATGTCACCCTCTCAAACAGACTTCCCTAACCAAGTCTATAAAACAGCCACACTCCTCTGTGTCCCAGCAACCACTTTGCCCTGTCTCTTTTTGCCATATGTATCTTACTCATTTTATTTACTTCCTTACCATCCCCAAAAAGCATGAATTTCTGGTCTATTTTGTTCATGATACATCTCCAGTACCAGGCATATAGCAAGTACTCTGTCATTTAAATTAACTACATGGGAAAACATGCAATTACACTAAAATCAAAGAATGCCAATTAAAATAACATGCATATAATACCATCTTGAACAGACTATCAGATCTTAAAATCGCAACGTGAATTTTTTTGGTCAGGATGAAGAAAAATACTTTTATACAAACACCAATGAGTGTAAATTGGTATATTTCTCAAGAACCATTTGCTAGTATTAATCAGCTTTAAACATGCATACTTTTGACCTACACCTTTATACCTTACTTTAGTGGCCTTTTTAAGTAGTACTCTTCACTAGTTACAATGTTTTATAATCTTTCATCTGTTCTTTATTGTATCTCTCCACCACCAGAAATATAAGCTTCATGATGGCAGAAACCACTCAGTCACACAGCACCTAGAACAGGGCCTGGCACAAAGGCGCTTCAATATTTGTTGAATTCATGCATGGAAAATATGTTATGGTTTTGTCATAATAAGCAAGAGATAGGTTAAAAGCAACACAATATGTTCACATAAACAACTTATGTAAAAATATTTTTCATACTGAGTGAAAAGGAGTTGGTAAAAGAATAATATACATTTTGAAAATAAGCTTTATTTTAATCCCTAAGAGGTCTTCTTATCTTGTACCACATTATTTAACTAGGTCCTCCCTTACTCTGCTCTTCAATAAAATCTTCTTTTAACTTATAATACAGCTGAAGTATATAAATTAAGTATTTTCATGTTACCTAGACTTCACTATTTCTCTGGCATAATAACTGACAATCTCCTCCTACCTACCCACACCTGCAGAGTTAGAAAAAGTAGAAACTTTTCTAAGTTAAGTTACTATTTTACCCATATACAAAAAAACATTAGCATTCCATGTGGACAAAACCACTCTATTAATCAGATTATATGACTAAGACACCTTACAGTCAACAATACTTGATAACAAATATAATATAATAAATACCCTTGATTGCTAAAACACCTTTTATTAATAAAATCTTACTTATGATATTGTTGAGTTTTCTGCATTAGCTTCTCTGGCAAGCCATCTTCATCATCAAACTGCTCCATAGGCTCCACAATGACTGGCCGAGGAGTCCTGGATAGGTAAAAAGCATCAGTAAAAATTAATACAATACAGTGTTTAGAATAAATTTCCTCTTATAAATATGATTCCAAGATATGTATGTACTTGGAAAATTTCTCTCTTGAAAAAAATGTCTCCTAAGTTATCACATACATTCATAAAACCAGTCAATAAACATTTGCTGTGCTAGACACAAATGTAAAAGTGAGAGACGCTTGTTTAAATTTAGAACATTGTCTATTCAAGATGACAGAAAAGAAGGTCAACAACTAGGAACCTGTGTAACCACTGTAGTTAACTTTTACAAAGTATGATGGAAAAGAACAAGTACTTAACTCATGTTTATGTATGTGGTATCACCATCCCCAGATCCCACTGCCTCAAATTTGCATCTCCACCCACCTCCCTGCCTCTCTGTGTCTTAACAGTCTCGTTCAGTCTTTATAAAACCTAAAATGAAACCTGAAAGTCATCAGCCAAGCAAAAAAAGAGGAGGGAGAACCAAAAGACACAACACACTGAGGAGAAAGTTGGGAGGAGAGAAAGACAAGAAGAGTGGATGATGGAAGCTATTAACTTGAAAACCCTCCTTTGTTATTTTCCTAAATTAAACAGGAGGAAGGGAAAGTTCACTGGGGAAAGACAAATAAGAAGGGCAGTAAGTGGAGTGGATGATATACTGATACTAAAATATTCCTATCAGTCTCCCATGAGGCAAGCAGCAGTAAAATCTATTTATTCTGCCTTCTGAACAGAGATGCTTCAGAGAAAAACAAATCACTTAACTTCTGAGGTGTTAACAAAAAATCCAGAAAAGTGAAGGTGCTTTTGGTTAAGGGGATTCTAAAAGCTTCCCTTCACAATTAAGTAAAGATCCAGAAAGATTATGAGAGTTTAAATCCTGAACTGTAGGGAAAGATATAAAAATCGTTATTTAAAAATGATTCCTGGAATAGGAGAGACATTTCAGAGCAAAAGAATTAGAAGCAGGCATGGAATAACATGGGGTGGTGGAGACACTGAGATTACAGAAACCTCAGATAAAGTTGAGTAGGAACTCAAAAGAAAAACAACTTAACAGGCCTCCATTTCCAAGGTTGAGACCTCATATCCAACATGTTAAAACAGAAAATAAAAAATGAGAACAGCCGCAAAGACTACATGCAACCCACTAAAGTCTGAGAAAGCAACTGAGAGCTTCTGGGCCCATCCAACCCATGGGACTTCTAAGAGAACCCACAGGTACCCAAGCACATAGAAAAGAAGATGCAAGGCACTATAGGGACCACATACCCACTAGAAGCCATGACAGGACCACAAATATCAGAATAGTTAGTAGGGACAGTAAGAACTACACCTGAGCAGAGGCCAATAAAAGCAGAAGTCATACCCAGCCACCTCAATACCACAAGGACACCAACACCCAAGAGAAAAATCAGGAAAGGAGACTCAAGAAGAAACAGGTACATTTGTTATTCAGAATATGACAAGTTACTTAGAATTGACAAGATTAATTTTATGAAGTCAAGGAAATGGTGAAAAAAAGAGTAACGTCTCGTCTACACTCGCAAATAATGTCAACTAATTTTTACTATAAGTTTTCAATATGGGCCACACTCTTATACATGCTGGGGGGGAGTACAGCCCTGAGAAAAACCTGACCAATTCATACAAATGGCAAATGGTATATATTTATGCCTTGTTCCTGTGATTCCATTTCTAAAAAGATACATGAATAAGTGAGCAAAGATCAATCAAAACCACATTTATCACATTATATAATACAAAAAGACCATGTGTGGTATACACAGTCCTTAAGGAATTGTGTCATGTTTTCTCTGGGATATATGCAAAAACGTGAACATTTATGGTTTCACTGTATCAACAAATCCCTGTAGAAAATTCCCTGTTGTCTTGCCAATCTTGTTTATTCCACTTTGATCTTCAGATGTTAACAAAAGTTTTTAAAACCTAACAAATTGTTTATAGGTATAATTATTAAACTAACTCTTTTACAATTATAGGTAAGTATTGTATGTAAAAAAAAGACTGACAGAACAAATCAAAGTGGTCTACCACAATGTTAAATCTGGAATTGTCTTCAGGTTTTCTCCTCACTTTGTCCCTAATCATCAGTTTAGTTGTCTAAGTGATAAATGTTCCATTGTGGAGAAATTTAAACAGCATAATAATTTTTATAGAAGAATGTAAGTCCCATGAAATCCTATCATTTGGAGAAGACCTCTGATCATGCTTCATGAACATCTATTTCTAATTTTCTTTTCTACTAGATATACATAATTTAACACAGAATGAATCACCTATACATGCTTTCTTCAGACATCCTGTATATAAAATGCCACCATTTCAGATGTATGCATGTATAGCAACTGGCCTGCATTCAAGGTTTTCATCTTTTCTATAAGACACATGATTAACTTATTTATAACTGATCATTCCTCACCTGTTCGACTACCTCTTTAGAATTATGAGAACAAGGTGAACTATACAGTACTAAAAACATGGTGATTTAAGAGAGAATACCATATTTTGTGCATGCAATTTTAAAAAATGAGGGATTATGTAATTATGACCATTTGTTTCACTATTGAATCATCTATGCAAATGTACACCATTTTGTAAGGGATTTTCATTTCAGTTTTTTAAAAAATAGTTGAGAATTTAAGAGTAATTCTTAGGATGATGAAGTAAGATGTTTTATGACAGAGGAAAAATAAAATCACTAGGACCTGATAATGTTACCTTAAAGTTATAAAATGACTCAGTGGGACCCATATGGTAATTTTAAGGTTGAAAAGAGTTTATTCTACTTTTTAGATTTGTTATTTTGAAGACCTCAAGAAGAAGTAATAAAAACCAATTCTTAAAAATAATTAGGGCTGCTCAAAAAAGAAAGTAAAAACTAAAATTGGACCCAATTAACACTGATGGAACACTGAAGGTTAAGGGTGCTTTTCCACAAAGTTGTAATTTATACTTCTACCACCAGCAGGTAGGTCCAGATAATCTCTTTCCAATATTAAAAAAGAAATATTGCAATGCTTTTATTAATATTTTTTTCTGAATCTAAAAGTAATCCCATTTAATGGAAAGATGTGATGAAGCAAATAAAATGTTGGAAAAGTAATCCCTTTTAAACATAAGTATAAAATTGTAAAGTATAAAAAACTGTTAGTGAAACAATTACTTATATACAGAAAAAAGTAACAGCAGGCCTGACAATGCTATCCCATCACCCTAACCAATAGGACTGGTTTTCTGTGCCAAAGTTGTTTGTGCACTATAGTTTATGTTGACCCTTCTGAGTTTGTTTCCTTCTAAGTCTGAAATTTTGGTAAAGTCAGATAAAAGGGAATACAAAACTGACACTCCACCTTCTACCCACTCACATAACGTTTCATTCATGCTGTCTCAACTAGTTGCTGGAGGAATTAAGCAGGTCCTGTGTGAATCAACTGGTAAAGGAGTCTTGGAAGCTTACCTTCCAAGTTTCCTCCAGACTTCACCCCATGTGCATTTTTCCTTTACTAATTTTTGCTCTGTATACTTTCACTGTAATAAATCTTAGTTGTAAGACTACATTGCTGAGACCTGAGTCTTCCTAAGATCCACAAAACCTCAGAATGGTCTTGAAGATGCCCAAGATACACCTGTAAATATACTCATCAATTATAACTTCTGCTGATATATTCATCACACTTTTTCTCACTAGTTTAATAACACAAACTTTATCACAGCATACATCTAGTTTTGAGTCCTTCCTTTTTTCTTGCTAAATTAATGATTATAATGAAAAGTTTTTGAGCAGTTGTTACACAGCATATGTGCACTAGCATTATGTTCTTCCATAAACAAAGATGGAATTTATTTGTTTTTATTCTTATGGAGATACAATCCACATAACCTAAAATTCACTTTTTAAGTATACAGCTCAGTGGTTTTTAGGATGTGCAACCAACATCACTATCTAATCCAAAAACATTTCTATCCCCCCCAAAAAGGAATCCCACGCTTATTAACCTTTAACTCCCCACTCCCCTGCCCCCTGAGCTTCTGGCAACTATTAATCTACTTTCTGACTTTATGGTATGTATGCCATTTAAAAAATTTTTCTTGAGTGTTTTATCTTCCAGTGTCATGAAATATTTTTTGCAAAGTAACTACACATTAATCCACTGTATGTAAAATTTACTTGACCATTTGTTAAGAAATTTATCTGTCCAAATTTTATTAGAAATGAAGTGATAAACCAGATATAAAGGGACACACCAAACCTCTGAGTCAAAATATTTACTTAGAATATACCTCTGTTACATTAGTCAGAGAATCTTAGCTTTTACATAACCAGTACCTAAATCCCATCCAGAAACAAAATAACCAATTTCTATTAGCACCAGGAGTTTTAAAAATAGTCATGTGGCTTCACGTTCATTCACTGGATATTTTTAAATCTTTGCCAACAGATCAAAAAAAGAAAGTTTTAATTTGTTTTTACTTTACACTAAAAAATTATTTAAATATCTAGCCGTCAATCTTAAAAACCACTATTAAAGCCACAAATGTCTCTCTCCTGAATCAATAGCACAGAAATATAGAGTTGGAAGAGAACAGGTGTAGGGAGGAATAAATTTTCTCTCTCCCCAAAAAGAACAAAAATAAAAGGGACAAATAATTAGCATATACAGTAATGCTACACCCAACAAGAATTTGAGCCACATTACTAGTCATAACAGAAAAGAGATTATTCCTCATGTAATACAAGTCAGGAGGGTATCTCCAAAGTTTAAGGCTTTACAAATAGTCTTGCACTCTTGAATCCTTGACTTTTAATAGAGTTTGGGTTACCAAAGTTCAAATACTTTAAAAGGAAACCATTTATGCTTTTTCCAAGGAAATTCTGGAGTAAGTCTGCCCATAAAAATCTGGTCAGAGAATCTTAGCTTTTACATAACCAGTACCTAAATCCTATCCAGAAACAAAATAAAAATCTAAACCTAGGAAACAAAGAATGTGTACCCATAATGTCTGTCACAAGGCTTGTTTTTATCATAGAAAAAGGGAACAACCTACATATCTAGTAATAAAATGTCTAATGTCCCATAAATGGTTAAGTCTGGCATAAATATAATGAAGTACTATACAGCATTTTTAACGATATGAGAACAGCTCACATCATAAATGTAAGGAAAACATTGTAAAAAGAGGATGCCTATTAATAAGGAGAAATTCTTGGGTTTACTATAATAAATAAATCCCAAAGGTAATAAAATAAGTCGTGAAAAATGAAATTATTTATGTATTGGAATCTTCTTTCCTACAAAGCTAAAAAAGAGAGTAACAGTGCAAACCCTTAAAAGCCTAAAAGGAAACAAATCCAAATCAATGCACATTCTAAAAAACAATTGTCCTGAACTCTCCAAAAATACTAGTGTCATGACACTGACATTTTTGTCATTTAGAAAACAATTACAGAAAGACAAAAGGGAATTATAGACATGGTAACTAAATTCCATGTTTAATCTCTGAATACTAGATAGAAAAAAGTTTTTAAAGATATTGTTAGGCAATGGGGGAAACTTAAATACCAACTGTATATATTAGATTAAAATAGTATATTAACATTAAATTTCCTCAGTGTAACAATTAGATTGTGGCTGTATAAGAGAACATTCTTAGGAGATACATGCCAAGTACTATAATGCACGGGTAAAGTATGGTTCCTGTAGCTGATTCTCAAATTAATTAGCAAAAAAATTTGTGTACACAGTGGGGGAAAAAAAAGTGGCAAAATGTTGTATTTTAATTTAACCTGCAATGAGCTTAAAAAAAAATAAAGGCCAGAGAGAGAAAATCTAACTAGTGAGCACCTATCATCATGCCTACTCAATTTCTAGGCATAATCTAGGCATAGTGTCCTACTCAATTCCTGTAGCTCTAGGGCATGAGCATCTATAAATCATCTTGGTGTGACTCTTAGTGCTTAAAGATGTGGACATACCATTAACGGTAAAGGTTTTAAATTTTCCTTTTCTCCCCATTTTAATGCTTCTTCTGTCCTTTCAAAACAGCAAAAATATGTAATTTACACATACTTTTGCATAATGTATGCTTACCATTTTATGTACTACACAAGGCTGTTTACCTAAAACCACATATAGTATACATTTTATGACAACTTAAAAGCACTTATCACAGAAGTTTTGATCACACAAGATGTCTACATGTAGAAATTAAACTCTTATGATACCACTCCTATAAACTGCTTGTATTATCTAAGATAAATGAGATTCAGTCAGTCATCCATCAATATTTGACTACCTAATATGTACCAAGATTGTACTTGGAGCTAGGGATACCAAAATCCCTAAGGTCTTACAAGAAAAAAAAATGAGTAAACAAATAAAATAATCATTTTTAAAGTTAAGAAGAAAAAAATGCTGCCAGAAAGGCCAACAGAGGGAACCCACTAGATAAGGTAGTCAGGAAAATCCTCTCCCTGAAGAGACCCTTTAGCTGAGACCAACTATCCAAACAGCAGCAAGAGCATCCTGAGTTCTATGAGGTTTGACTAACAAAGTTCCTGAGCAAGGAGTGTCTACAGAAAGAATAAACCACTTCTCTTGTAGTACAAAAAGCACAGGATTTGACATCAGACCAAACATGTTTTACCTGTGCAATCTTAAGCAAATTACTTAACATCTCTGGGCCAATTTTCTCATCTGAAATAACCAGTGTTGTGGAAATCCAAAAGATCATAATTATGAAAGATCTGACAGATAATGAAATGTTCAACACCTGGCCCTCAAAACTTTACTGAATTATTCTAAAAAGCATTTGTACAAAATTGTTATCGTTTACCAATGTCTGGCCAATAAACTTTAAACACCAATTAATCAAAGCTTGCAGTGGAAAAATAAAAATACTAATCACATGCCTTACCTATTGCTTTAGTTCCTTCATTCCTTAAATAATTATTATAACCTTACTATGTGGCCAGGAATTATTAGAATACTATATTATTCTACATAGTATATATATTCTATATTCTAAACTAATTATTATAACCTTACTATGTGACCAGGAATTAATAGAATATTAGGTGCTGGGACTAAGGTGTTGACCAAGACAAGGTTCCTGCCCTCTCGGAGCTTACATTCTACAGCAGAGAAAGACATGCAAATTTAAACAGGTTCTATGAAGAAAAATAAACTGGAGAGTAAAGCATCAGTGATGGTGCAGAACGGATGGGTATTTTAAGATAAAATAGCTTCCTGAAGATATAACATCTTAGCAAAATGTGAATGAAATGGAGAGCAACACCTGGATCTGGAGGACGGGAAAACCAAAGTCTATGAGAGAACAAACTGGCAGTGTTGTAAAATAGCAGATGCAGCATGAATTACAGCTTTAGCATGAAAAGTAAATAATCAAAAACAAATTGAAAAATGCTTTACAATTCACCAAACTAAGCTCCATGAGGCCAAGAATCAATTTTTACATTATCTTTGTATACAATTCCCCAAACCCTAAAGTATTTTAATGACCAATCAACAGCACAAGAAGTGTCAAAGGTGGGCAGTTATCACAGATAAAAGGAATCAATGCAATAATCAATTAAGAAACTTTTACAAATCCAGTCTGAAGACTAAGGACTTCCTTATGGACGAACTGAAAGGAAAGGCATGTTAATATGGCAACAGGTTGAAGGACTATTATAATTACAGGCATATCTCACTGTATTGTGCTTCTCAGATCTTGCAGTTTTTTTTATTTTTTTATTTTTTGAAAAATTGAAAGTTTGTGGCAATCTAGGCAACTCTGTCAGAACCATTTTTCCAACAGCATTTGCTCACTTCATATATGTGACAATTTGGGATTCTCACAATAAAGTATTTTTTAATAAAGATGTGCACATTGTTTTTTCAGACATAATGCTAATTAATGCACTTAATAGACTACAGTATAGTGTAAATACAGCTTTTATATGCACTGAGAAATCAAAATATTCACTTGACTTACTCTGCTGAGATAATCGCTTTTTTGTGGTGGTCTGGAACCAAACCCAGTTACCTCTGAGGTATGCCTGCACTTAAAAATATTTTAAAGTAAATGGAGAGATACATCACATTCACAGACTGGAAAAAGTAAATACTGTGAAGATGTCAATGTTCCTCAGAACAATCTGTAGATTCAACACAGTACCTATCAAAAGCCCAGCAGTTTTTAAATTGACAAGCTGAATTTAAAGTAATGATATACAAAGACATAACAAGAACAATGATGAAAAAATTAATAAAGTTGGGCGATATTACCTGGTTTCAAAGCTTAGGACAAAGCTATTAAGGAAGTACAGTCAGTACTGGTTAAGAGACATAATGATCAATGAAACATAAACAAGGGCAATTTTTTTCCCCCAGATTTTTGATAAAGGTAACAAAGGGGAAAATCATAAATCTTTTCAATTAAGAGTGCTAGAACTGTGTATCCTATTAAATAAAAATGAATTGTTACCTCACATCATACCCAAAATAGATCACAGGCATAAATTAAAAGCTGTAAAATTTCTCAACAAAATGTGACAAAAACTTTGCTACTTTAGAAAAGTAAAGATATCATATAGTAATATACAAACAGCACAAACCATTAAGAGAAAAAAACTGATAAAGTGAAAAGCTCCACTCTTTGAAGAACACTATTAAGAAAATTAAAAACCAAGTCACTAGAAGAAAGTCACAATGTAGACTTATACCTAGACTAGTACCTTAATCCAGTAAGACACACCACCCAATTAAAGAGGCAAAATGTTTCAACAGACTGTTCACAAAAGATATAAAACAGCCCCAAACACCAGATGAAAAGATGCTCATCACTTATTTTTAGGAAAATAAAATTTAAACCACAATTAGACATCTTTACACTCAACAGAATATCTAAAAGACTGAAAATATCAGTTGTTGCTGAGGATACAGAGCAACTAGAATGCTTTCATGCATTGCTGGAGGGAATGTTTTAAAATGGTACAAACATTTTGGAAAACAGTTTGCAATTTCTTATAAACAGGCATTTACTCCCTAAATATTACCCAAGCCACATGAAAGCATAATATTCACAAGAAGGCTGGCACACAAATGTCAGTAATAACTTCATTTGCAATGGCCAGTGGTTGGAGGCAATCAGGACATCCAGGACACAGGACAAACTGCGGCTATGTCTCAATGATGGAATACAACTCAACCATAAAAAGGAACAAAATACTGATATAATGATATGGATGGTATTTTATAAACATTAAGCTAAGTAAAAGAAATGAGACACACAGGAGTATATACTATATGATTTCATTTATGTGAAATCCAGGAAAGGCAAAACTAATTTATAGTAGCAGAAAGATCAACAGCAGTCTATTGACAGATAAGAGGTGAGAAATAACTACAAAAGGGCATATAGGAACTTTTGTTGGATGATGGAAATTATATCTTAATTATGGTGATAGGTTACTTGAGTACATGCATTTGTTAAAATTCAATGAGCTCTACATTTAAAATTGGGTGCATTTTAATGTATGTAAAATATATGTAAGTATTAAAATATCATTCATTTATTATTTAAATATAAAGTTTTGCTTTGCATATAACATTCAGTAAGCTGAATCAAAACGATACTGTGAAACATTCCTGATAATCAACAGGCAATACACTTAAGTTTAAACAAGGTATCACTCCTGACTCCTAGTAGATACACAAAAATTCCTTATTTATATTTATTGAGTTATTTATTCAACACCTACTTACCACATACCAAGAAAGTATGAACTAGAAGGAAAGAGAACTCCACGAACAAAGAAAAGAATAAAAGAACTGCAAAAAAGAATGACAAGATGTTTGAAACTTACGTTGTTAGTAAGAACGCCCCATCACCACATCTTTCCAGAGCCTTTCGTGCAGGAGGTTTTGCTGCAAATTCTACAAAACCTTTTCCAGTAGCTCTACCACGATCATCCACAACCACAACGGCTTTCTCTACTGGACCAAACTGGGAAAACGCTTGCTCTAGAAGCTCATTGGAAACAACTGGAGAAAGGTTCTTGACAGTTAGGGCTGCTCCATGTGTAGCAAAACGAATTCGTAGAGGTCTGCTCTTCAAAATGGTGCCATCCAGCTCTGCTTTTGCAATTTCAGCCAGTGTTCTGGATTCCTTTTTAGAAGGAAAAATCACTTTTTTAAAGATAATAGCAACACAAATTTTAAGTAGTGGTTTGTTTCTAGGGAGGAGAGTTTGGCAGCTTTAGAAAATGACTGATAGGGTCACTTTGTTTCTGTGTCAATTTTGGTTATCACATGCATTTTATTAACTATTCAAAAATAAGTAATCTTAAACATTTTAGGTACAGCTGACTCCTGAACAATGCAGTGGCTGGGGCAACAACAACCATGTAGTCAAAAATCCAAGTATAACGACTCCCCAAACATTTAACTATTAATAGCTATGTTGACCAGAAGCCTTGAGAGTAATGTAAACAGTTGATTAACACATATCACTGTATTTTACAATAAAGTAAGCTAAACAAATTTTCCAAATTGTTGCAAATGTTCAAAAATTTTGCCATTATATTTATCGGGGGAAAAAAAATCGCATGTAAGTTGACCCACAGTTAACTGTGGTTTAACAGTCAACCATACAAAGTCCCAACCCCAATATCCTGTTGTTAAGTAATCAGAATCACTTATAAAGACTACCTGCTCATAAACAGATTATCAGTAATTAAATATTCAAAGCAGTATCTTTTTTAAATCTCCAACATATATTAAAAGAAATACTGCATCACTCAAAACAAAGTACCAGTTATCAGAAACTATTCTGGAAAACAGACTAATTCTCTGTATACCGCACTTTTATGATATTCATATCTTAATTAATCATCCTATCTCTCCAAAGCCAGACAAATCCCCTTAACTTTTAATTTCCATTTCTCTTTAACATTATCTGTAAAAACTACTATTAGGTATTTTTAACCACTTCTCCTGAAATACTTTCTTGGGTTACGTTTCTCACCATTATATTGACAGAAGCAAACACGTTTCATGGCCTATAGAGTTTTCTCCATTATATAGAGAAGCAGTGTAAATGCACTTACTGTGAACTAGAAAATATGTTTATTGCTAAAATCACAAGAGAACTTCCTCCTTGAAGAATTCCAAGTTGGAATAGAATATAGGCATATAAAACAAACAAGCTGATAAACTTAATACAGATATTTTCTTTTTTTTGTGTTGACAACTTACCAGGAAGGACTGAAAGAGGCTTTATATGCATTTGTAAGAATACAAACGTACTGTCATAGGAAAAGTCTTAAGGTCACATTAGGTCATTATTCAGTCCCTAAAATGTTCACAACTTTCAATTACTCCACTTATGCAAAAATCTAAACTAATTTTACAAAGATAAATATAACCTTTTTACAGATACTCAAAATGGCCATTTTGCTTATTACTCTTATAGCAGCAGTAATACCAGCAAACATTTAATGAACATAGTTAACAAATGATAAGTACTTGGTACCTAATACGTCATATAATCTAACAACTCTCGAAGGTAGATTTTTTAGGAATGGAGCCTTGAATTAAAGTGCTGCAGATATAACTGGGGATGGGAAGGGAGACATGAAGAAAAATTTCACAGGGTGATGATGATGTTCTGTATCTTGGCATTTTAATGAAACAGATATCTCTACAATCACTTAAAATTTCTGCACTTTGCTGTATGTAGATTTCAAATACCTTTAAAAAACTGGACTCTAGTTAATGATAAGCATGTTGGCATGCTTAAGATTCAAGTCATGGATGGAGAGATGTTTATGTGAAAAACAGCAAAATTTAGTTGTAAAATCTATGTGGTGGATGTACGGACGTTCGTTTCTGTTATCTGAAATTTGAGGGGGAGGAAGATAGAGAGAACCTGGTTTTGACTCTAAAACTGAAGTGTTTCTAAAGGGCATCTCCTTTTTGATATAGTCATAATATAACACATTTTGTTTTTTCAGGGTAAGCAATTTTTACGTTAAATCAATTGTCTAACTGATGGCAGAGAGTTCAATTTGTAATACTTTGTGGCCAAATAAAATGTTTATGCTGTCAGAAATTTTAAATGCCATAATCCTTTTTCAAAATTTGTACTTTTCATGGTTCTATATCAGGGTTTCTCAACCTCAGCAGTACCAACATTAAGGGCAAGGTAATTCTCGTGGTGAGGGGCTGTCCTGGCCACTGTAGGATGTTTATGCTGGAAGATCCACTTTTTGACAACCAGAAATGTCTTCAGACATTGTCAAATGTCCCCTGGAAAGCAAAACCACCCATCTGAGAATTGCTGCTCCAAACGTGCCTTTAAATTTACGTGTTAATAACAACAGCTCAGATTAAACAGTAAAGTTATCCATGAAGTCAAATTTTCTTAAGCATCTGTAAAATCATTTAAAATTACATATTTGAAATGAAACCAAAGATTTCTTTACTTCATCCCTCAGAATAGCTTGTGCCACGTAGTTACTACATGCCAGCCATTACCAACGTGTGTGTACACATGCATTACTTTTCATTACCCTCACCAACAATCTTATGAAATGGTTACTGTCCCCACTTCACATATAAGGAAACGGGCCTAGAGAATTAACTTGCCCAAGATCCTATTTCAAATATAGATGTTAATCTATTCAGAATTCAGTCTCCACCAGTATGCCATAAATCCTAGCTTCCAACTGGTATCCCAGCATCACTGCATAAAAAGTAAAACTATAGATTCTTAACTGAAAGGAATACACAAAAAAACAAAAACAAGAAGTTAAGTGACTACCCCAAGATGGGACTGAACTAGGGACTAATGATTTCCATTAAAACCTTTTCAAAGCACATAATCTTTTCTCCCACAGTTTACTACTGGTTAAAATTCCCCACTACAGAAGTACTAAGTTAAAGAAATCCACTGATCCAAAATGGAAATAGCATTCAAGTCAATTAAGAGAAAGCTGGTTAACTAGCAGTACGTTCATACTGAGAAATACAGTATGGTCATTAAAAAAAATGTAATGACATGAAAAGATGTCACAGATATATTAAATGAAAAACTCAATTTACAATACAATATACAGAATGGCTTTTTACTGTATAATTACACAAAGGTTAAACAATGATCACAGTAAGTTTACTAGAGGAAGGGAAGATCATTCCCTACTGTTAATACTGTAATTAAGAAAACTTCTCTAGAATATCTTGATTTGAAATTATATGCTGGTCAGGCCCACTAAATGGATTCTGCTATGTTTTCTCTAACATTTGAACATTCTGTAAGAAGTATATATCCTTCCATAATTTAAAAGAAGCAGATGAGGGGAAGGGATTTAGTATTCAATAACTAAATAAGTAAATTCAGTTGATGTTTAATTCTTTTATTAGAGAATGGTTCTTAAACTTCAGCAAGCATAAAAATAACATGGAGAGCTGGTTGAAACCCAAAATTGCTGGGCCCCTACCCTAAAATTTCTGATTCAAGTAGATCTAGGGTGAGGCCCTGGAATTTGCACTTCTAACAATTTCTCAGTTAACTGATGAAGCAAGACAATTTTTGAGATGATTTAGGGTCAGCAATGCTAGCATGAATAGCAGGGAAAATAATTCAAGCTGTCTTCTGCTTATACTGGGAAAAGACCTGAAGCTGTTGGAGAGGAACCACACTTCTGTGAATCACTGCTCCAGAAATCCGGCTTACTAAAGCTACAAGTAGAGGGGGGAAAAAAAAGCAGAAACTGAGTTCAGGTCAAACCAATACTTGTTTTAACATTAAACTAGATTTAAAATGCACTATGACTTCTCAGTTAAGTTATACAATCGAAACTGTCCGCAACTAGTCAAAAACCTAAGGTTTTGGGTCTGAAATCCCACAAAATGTATCCAAAATACACACACAGTCTATCTCATCCCTAACGTCCCATGGGATCATAATATGGATTAGAAAGAACCTTAGGAGAAACTGCCATTTCAATTCTTTGCCCACCATCACATAATAGGAATGGTGGCACTATACCACCTCAAAAATACTATCCCACCTCACAACTTAACTGGAAAAGTATAACTACTAGTCTAAGAAAGTTTATTTGCATTTAAAGATTTATTACTGAACAAGTAAAAACTATTTCTAAAAAAAAAATCAAATATAATCACACCACTACTTTAGCGCCACTACACCACCAATACACATACAGTCACTACATCATTATTTATATTCATATTAGGTACACGCTGTATGATTTTCCTAAGTAGAAAAATATGTATAATAGCTCAGAAATACTTAAAGCTTTTAAATTTACCTGTTAATAATAGAGCTCAGATAAAACAGAACAGTTATCCATAAAGTCCAACTCTGCAAATTAAATTCTGATTTCTGATTTCCTACACAGAAATTTAGGGTGACAAGTTTGGAGGAACATATCCCTAAGAAGCAGACAGCAGAAGCCCTTCTCACCTCCCATTTCATAATCCCATAGAGATTTTTTTTAAAGAAAGAAAAAGGAATGAGCTGTGCTGTTTAACATAATAGTCTCTAGTCACATGTGGCTATTTAAATTTAAAATAATAATAAATAATATTTAAAATTCAAGTCCTCAGCCTCAATGGCCACATTTCAAGTGCTCAACAGTCACATACGGCTAGCAGACTACTCCACCAGACATCACAGATACGTAAGCATATCGATCACTGCAAGAAGTTCTACTGGACACTGCTAATACACAAAAGCAGAAAAGATTATTAGTAGCTTTAAAGATAGACCTTTCCGTGTCAATAAAATGTTTCTTGGCTTATTTAACTGTTGTCATCAAAAACAAAGGGCAATGCAGTCCTACCATTCTTCCCCCAGAATGTCAACTTCAGAATAGACCAAGATGATGCCAGAGGCTAAAAATTATGAAAATGTTAAGTAACATCCTTTTGGAAAATTTAAGTTGCATGTAATACCTTATTATAGAAACTTAAAAATAATTGCATGAAGTGACAACTTGTTTTCCTAATATTCCAAAGATAATAAAATCTATTTGTAACTTTATGTTCAGAACAGCATTACTTAACTTGAATTTTAAGTAAATTCCATGTCTCATTAATACCCTTTGAAGATTTACCCTTTTCTTGAAACCATTTAGATATTCAAACCCTTAAAATATTCAATGTCACTTAATTACAATCAGTTTTCTCTACATACTAAATTTGCTTTGTTCAGTCACGGAGAGAACCCAATCTTCAAAGTTGAAATTCATTAAGAAAGCTCCCATGAACTGCAATGAACATAAAATTTGAGGGTCAAACTAGAAAGGGTCAAACACACAAAAATCACCTATTTATGCAAAAATGTCTTCAAGAAACCTATTTTCTTGGGAGAAAAAAAAGCACCTAAATATGAGTTGCAATAATGTTGTATAACGGACACTGATTACCACAAAGCACACAGGAAAAACTAACAGAGATTTTGTCCTGTAACTGTAAACACTTATGCTTCAAGCTGTTCTTAAAATATAAGGGAGTCACAATATTTGTATGTTATTGAAAACTTTGTAAGATATGTTACAACGGGGTAAAACATACACAATTGCAATACTAAAATGTATAAGTAAAATAAAAATTGTATATATAATTCGTCATTCCCGGCAAAAACGTTAAGATTTCCAGAAAGGTTCGGGAGGGACACATTAGATACCTAAGAATTCAACACCGTCCCAACGCTGCTGAGTTTAGGAATGGGGGCAGTTTAAGGTAAATGGCGGGCTGCTCTGAGGTGAGGAGAGGCAAAAAGAGGTTCACCGTTACAAGCATGCAAGTCGGCTTGAAGCCAAAGAACGAGGTGCGGAGTTTTTCAAGAACCAAGTCCGCCGGTGGGTCCTTCCTGCCCGATGAAATCTCGGGTGAGACCGAGGCCTCCTTTCGTCGGCCTGCAGGAAGCGGCCCCGCGCCCCCTCCGAGCGGGGATGCCCCCCGCGGGCGGCGCGCGGCCGGCCCGGGCCCGACACTCACCAGGCGGATGAAGCCGAAGCCGCGGTCCCGGTTGATAAAGACCTCGCTGGGCTCGCCGTAGCGCTCGAAGAGCCTCTTGAAGTCCTCCTCGGTGATGTCGGTGGGCAGGTTCCCTACGAAGAGGCGGCAGCGCTGCGTGTACGTCTTCTCCCCTGGCTTGAGGAAGCTCTTGATGTCGATGGTGAAGCCCATCTCCTCGTCGGGACGGTCCTCCGGGGGCGCGGGGCCGGGTAGCCCCGGCTCCCCGGCCAGCGCGAGCGCCATGGCGGACGCCGGCTCGCTCTCTCCAGCCGCCGACTCCAAGGCGCGAAGGCGGGCCGGGTTTTTCTCAATGCGCACTTGCTTCAGGTTTCCTCGTAGCATCATCGTAGTGGGTTCACCTCGATACCGGATGTGATCCTCGAGCCGTATCTATGTCTCTATAGATACCTGTGGAAACGGAATAAGGAGAGCGAGAGGACTGCTACACGGTCCGGCCGGCACCCGCCTGCTCAGGTTCACGCTCGCAGCGGCCACACATCCAAAATGGCGCGGCCACAAGTCGCGGTTAGAAGAGACGCCGTCGCCTGAACCAATGCGCCTGCGCATCCTTGGCGCCAACGGCTCTGTAGCTAGCACGCGCGTGCGCACGACATTATAGGCGTTAGGGTTCCAAGCCCGGAGCTCGGAGAAATGCAGTTTCGCAGCCGCGTAAGGGAGACTAGATTGTTGGTTGCAGTTACGGGAAAAATTGTGTGATGTGTGAAAATACAATGAGTTAGGGAATATCCATATTCTTTTATGGATATCCAGCTCAATTTTCAATGACTACAGGAAAATGAAACTTGCAGATTTTATATATAGCATTGAATAACGAGATATTTCCCAGTAAATGAAACATAAAAACACGTTTATGTCTGCCCAGTTTCAAGAGCAAGGCATTATATTTCATAATAAATCAATGAACTCTGAAATAATTGTACTGTTGATTATTCAGCTCAGAGAAGGACTCCATGAAATTGCTTGACAGTAGTACAACTAGACATGAATTCCTATGGACCATGCTCTATGACAAGGGTCAACGCGAGATTTCTTTAAAGAGCCATATTTCAAATATTTTAAGATTTGCGAGCCACAGAGTGTCTAAAAAACTACTCGGTCCTGCCAAGTACCACTCCTGGCACATGGTAAGTCTTCAGTGAATGTAAAAAGGAAATGAATTAGCAGTCATTGCAAAACAGTGTTTTCTCATGAAGTTGAACATATGCTTACTTTAGAACAGCAATCCTACTCCTAACTATGCATCCAAGTGAAATGAAAATTTGCGTTCACACAAAAACCTGTATGTTAATCTTTAGAGGGGCTTTATCTGAATCAACAGAAACTGGCAACAATCAAATGTCTAACTGGTGAATGGATAAGCAGTAGTACATTCATAGACTAAGATATGCTCAGCAATAAAAAGGAATAAACTACTGATATAAGGAGCAAACTAACCCAAGAGGTTATGTAGTGTATACATAACATTCCGGAAAAGGCAAAACTGTAGTTACAGAATACAGTGGTGGCCAGGAACTGAGAGGTAGGGACGCGCTGACTACAAGGGGACACAGAGAAATCTTGAAATGTGGAACTATATCTTGATTGTGGTGGTAGTGGCTACAAAATCTTACATACTTGTCAAAACTTGGTAGAATGGTACACTAAAAGAGTCAAGGTTACGTTATTTAAATTATAGCTTAAACCAAAAAAAAAGTTTATCCAAAAAATAAAAATGGAACACCATCAGGACTAATCCCTATTTACCTCAGTTTACCACCCTAAATCAGACTCTAATCCCCATACAGCTCTGTACAGCTCTGTAAATTCTTCAATCTGACCCAATTCCTCCCTCCTCTCAGTTGTTCCAAAGCCTTCTATTGAGTGAGCACTTGGAAACACTCTCTGTCATCAGCAAAATCCCCTGTCCTTAATTTTTCCTCTGAACTTCACTTTCCCTCTTTAACTGGAACATGGTTTTCCTATGAAAACTGCTTCCTTACAGCCTTCCTGAGAAGTGAATGGGTTTATTTCCTATCCCATATGTCACTGGACTTATGGATGGGATACACAACATTCTCCATGATCCCTTCAAACGGGAGACCATTTTCCTCTTTCTTTCAATAAAAATTCCAGCTCCCAAAAGCATGCCAACATGAACTCCCCTTCTCCATCTCTCCCTCTTCTTTACCCTCTCTCTCCCCCCTGACCACCTGTAGCTCTGGGAGAAAAGAGTGTTCCCAGTCAGGGGTGAATAAACTGGTGTGACTGAAATCAGTCTAGGGAAAGGCTAGATTGGGAGAAGCCCTTTTGCTGCTCACTGGGAGGCCCCGCTCCATTCGTGTGCGCTCTCTCCTTTCTCCCAGTCCCCACTAGGGAAAGCCCCCTCGGAGCTCTCCATCTCCCCAGCCACCCGGGGTCACAGTGCCTGCTCACCTCTCCACCCGCCCCTTCTGGGAGAAACTCCACAGACAGGTCCCCAGCGACTGACAGGCACCAGACTAATTAGGCAATGGAAGGGAGGGGAGAACTGCCTCTCTTCTCACTGCGCCCCAGAAGCTGTGATATATGTAAATAGGCTAAGGTCAAGCGAGACATTCTGGAAATACTGCAATTTATCCGACAACCCATCCCTCCAGAATTCTCACCTCACAATCTACATGCTTCCCATCTTCCATAATGGCCTCTGCTGTGAGAAATCTAGAGCACTGTAACCAGATTAATTATATACAGTAACAGCAGACATACAGGTAGCAATAACATCATGATAATCCTCAAGCCTGAGAATCCAGTTAGGTTCAAAGTCCTACACAAATTAAGTCCATAGTTCTCCCATTCCACAGGAGGCCAGCTGCTGAGCTGGTAGGGAGCTCAGTGCACACTCAGCAAGCAGCAGCTGTGGCCAGGAGGTGGGCCCAATTCACAAGGACTGTAGAAGACAATAACCTTAACAGCATTAAAACACATGTTTTAATGATGTCAGCATAAGCAACTCCTGTCCATCAAGTAGGATGTATGCAGAGTGGTCTTGTGATGGGGTGGAGCAGGTGGGATGTGTGCAGAGAGTGGTCCTGTGATAAGATGGTGGCAGGAACGGGGTAGATGTGGAGCTACTAGAAGCACAGGCACTGGCCACAATAATAAAACAAACTTCCCTGCAAAGTGCTTTTACCTTCCAGCTATGTGGGTGCACTACCCTGACCTTTAGGGGCTGCTCTGCAGTTACTCCAGGAACACAGGAGGCCAGCTTCCAGGCCTTGTCCCCAAGGTGCCAGCAGGGCCAGCCATCACTGGTCCATGTGTTGAGATGTCCACGGTCATGTAGTCTCCAGATTGCTGTGGGGCTCAGTCACATAATGCACTCCTGTCAGGCTCTGCTGATGTCTTCAAATATCAGAGGAAGGCCTCCTGACAGCCCACAGCCCACAGTGCCCTCTGCCCTGGACCACGTCATCTGCTCCATCATTCCATGGGGATGCCAAAGCAAATGGCTTGCAAGTTGCTGACAGAGGCCCCAGTCTCACAGACATCTAGTTTGTCCACTTTGCAATGGTAGAGGTAACTGCACACATTTTATCCCAGCCCCACCTGATGCCCTTTTGTACCAAATAGGATAAGGCCTTCAGAATTTGTGCCAAGTGTGGGATAAACACTCAACAGGAGCCTACAAAACCCAAAAACTCTTGTAATACTGCCAAAGTGGTAGGGGTGGGGAAAGCCTGGACCTTGTCTATTACTTCTTCTGGGATAACTTTAGATTTACCCAACCAGACAACCCCCAAGAACTTTACAGACAAACTAGGTCCCTGAACCTTGGTGCTGTTCACAACCCATCCTTTCTCTTGTAGATGTTGCAGCAGTCTAGGAACTGCCCCTTCTAAATCTGCAAGACAATCAGATGTGAGCATGATATCATCAGTGTAGTGATACAACCACACTATTGGAACTTTCTTCCATGTGGCCAAGTCCTGGGCTACAAGTCCATGACAGATGGTGGGACTGTAGAGGTATCCCTGTGGAAGGACAGTGAATGTCCACTGCCGGCCTTCTCATGTGAAGGCAAACTGTTCCTGACTTTTCTATGCTATGTCAATAGAGAAGAAAACAGCAATTTCCACAACATAATGATACATCCCTAACTCATGCCTGAGGGTGTCCATAAGGGCTGCTCTAGAGGGGACAGCAGCATGCAAAGGGGGTGTGACTTCATTCAGTTCTCTGTAGTCCATGGTCATGCACCAGGAGCCGACTGGCTTTTTCACTCGTCACACTGGGGAATTAAAAGGACTGTGAGTGGGCTTTATGATGCCCACCTTCTCCAGCTCCTCTAGAGTTTCTCCAATTTCTTTGTGCCCCCCAGGGAATTTATACTGTATAGTATTTGTCACCCACTGAGGTACAGGAAGAGTTGCAGGTGTGTGCTTACCCTTACCACACACATCCTCAGTCTGAACTCACCTGCAGTGGTCTGTAACCACAGGCCCTGCAGGATATCTGCCCCCAAAATAGATTCAGGGATGGGAGAAATGTACACAGTATACTCCTTAGTGGGTAAACACCCTACTTCCAAGGGGATCTGGGCTTTCTTCATTCTAACTACCTTAACCCCATAGCCTCTATCACAGCAAAGGTCCCAGGAAACCATTCAGGGTTGCCATTAAGTCAGAGAACATTCAGCTCCTGTGTCCACTAGCACCAAGACACATTGTACATTCACAGGGGACCAATGAATTGCTAATTCAACATGTGGCCTCGGTCCCCACCACATTCCCCATGGTCCCCATGGTGGGGGACTTAACACCCACCTCAGTCAAACTGCAATGTCCAAATGCCCTCCTGTGGGAGCTAGGGCCCAGACAGGGTCTGAGTATTGTCCCCCAGGAAGTCCTGCAGGCACACGGGCAGGACATGGGCCTTTGCCTCCAGCTTCCATGTCTTGGACTTCAGTGGCTGGAACCTCTGCTCTGGCTTTAATTGGTGCCACAGTTCTAACAAGAGTCTATTGGGCTGCCCATCAAGTTTTTCTTTTACTACCCCCACACTTATCAAATCAACCCACATCTGGGTCCTCAAGACCTTCACGGGGCTCTCTGAACCTCTTTTTTCAATTGTAGACCATACTTCCTTCCATGCTCTTATTGTTTCAACCTCTCCCAGATTAGCTATAGTACAAGTAATCTCACTTATTAGATTAGGCATTAGGTTGCCCTATGTGGGGGGCAAGAATGGTCACTAGGGACCCAAAGAAGCATGGGGGAGCTGTATGCAGCACCAGATTTCTCATTTCTGTGGTGAACAGCTCCTCACTGGGGCCCTCAGGGTCCATATTATAGATGATACTTCTCATG